GATAATTTTTTTTTCTCCTTTTTTTCCACATTTTTACATATTGCTCGCAAATGAGACTAAATCGTTGGTCAGTTAAGTTTCTGTAACGTTTACTGTTACTGTTACTGTAGCTATTTTTCCTCTTGCCGTTGTTCCTGTTGCTAATATAGTAAGTGGGTGTTGTCAGCCTTCTCAGCCCCCCTTCCCCTAAAAAAAAGAACTCCAAAAAAAAGGTATTAGCTCGAAACAGTACCAGTCCTGATGCTTTTAAAAATGTCGGCTGACTGTATCAGTGGCCAAAAACAGACGATAACAGCAAAAGATCTGAACCGTATAATGCAAACTTTTTTTTTTCTTTCTGTACGCATCCTCTCAACGGATCATTCGATTAAAGACAGCGAATTATACAACAGAAGGAACCGCCGAAAAATGAATTTAGTGTAAACTGCTCTTTTAAGACAGTTTATAGCCGCTTGAAGAATGATATCTTTGTATCTTGACGACTTTATTTTCTTATGTTGTTCTGGAGCAAAAACTGCTTCAAATTTGTGCAGTTTTTCTGTCGCTGGACCAGCAAAGAGATGAAACAAAAGCAGCAACGCTAACAACAGAAATTATTTATGCAATTTAGTGCATAGCTTTTCATTTACTTTTGTTCAGAATGGTTAATAATTCAAAAAATCTTATTTTTCCGGTCACTTAATTTTTATTAGGTTTTCAAAAGCAGTAAATTCCTTTTGGTGCCGCAGGCTTTCCCTACCTCTCTAAACAAAATCTGTCTAAATTTCAGCTGCAGCAAATTCGCAAATTCATAAACTATTTCCAGAAAACGGTGTTACAACACCACAGATTACGAGATAGATTTACAACGATAATGACAGTAGCAACGTCAATTTGAAGTGCATTCGATGCAAAAAAAGTATTGGTTTCAAAAAAAAAAAAAAAAAAATTTTCTTTTAACAATGATTTGATCCCTCGGTCTTTTTCCTCTTTCTTTTTTATTTATTTTCAAAAAAAACTGCTACAAATAAGAATTCATTTGATATGAGAATTTGTAAATAAAAAAAAAATGTTTTTCTTCTCACTGCCCAATCGCCCTACTGAATAAGGCTGTTCTTCTTTTATTATTGTCTACCTGATACAGGGGTGGCTACGTTTTGGGCTGCTGTCTACATGAGTGTTTTGACTGATGGATGTTTGCATGTGTATTGCTATGCTCAAAACGAGCAACATCTTCAAAAAAAGAAAAACTCGTCTTTCACTTTCATTCTTGCTTAAATTTGTGTGAAATTCTTTTGTTAGCTAGATAATGGGCAGAAAAAAAATGAAAAAAATTATTTTAATAAAAGGAAAGCGGGGGGATTTACAAGAAAAAAAAATGAAAAATAAAGATTAACAGACATTTTAATTCATTCTTACCGGAAATAATTGTTTTTTGGTTTTTCACCATTTTTCTCGTTCAACTTTTCGTTTTCTTCATCCGATTTATCACCAAACCTGGAAATTTTACTGCAACCTTAGTAACCTTACTTTTTTTGCTGTTACAATTCTTTAGGACAAACAGCAGTAAAGCTACTGATCAGTTTTTGTTCCAGTTCTTGACTACTATTGCAATACAGTTCTATTAAAAGAAGTATAAATTTTTGATAAGATAATCCAACTAATTAATTAGTATTTGTAAGAATGTTCTTAAAGTATCTTCAACATAAGCTGTGCTGCTGATGGTTAAAGCCAACGCAGCAGACTTTCGTCTACAGCTTCCGCTACGACAGCATGTCAGTTGTCCAGTTAAAGAAGATGAAACCTACCGGACATAAGCATTTTTCCACTTTGTGAATACACCATAAGCACTTTTCTTTTTCTCATACCCAACTCCTATACCGTTGCTGTCCAAATTCTTCTCGCTTACACCATTACGTTCATGTTTTTCACTTTTTTTATTCCTAAAAATCAACGTTCAGTAAATGTAGCAGCAGAAAGGCTACTGATTGGTGTAAAGTTGTAAAAATTCCCAGATTCAGTTAGAGAGGACATTACTTTAAAACCGAATAAAAAAGCCTTTCTTTTTCCTTCATTTCAATGCTTCAACAAACTATAATCATCATTATCGGCCCATAAACTCTTATTTCTGAATTCATTGATGGCAATAGGGACAGTAACAAAAGAAAAAACTAACCAATTAATAACTATATACAGATGTATACTAAAAGGAAATAAATAGTTACCGAAATGCTTTCTTTTTTGGTAACGTACCACTGTCATCATCGGAACTGCTGGCAATCGTTAGATTTTCTGAGGATTTACCTAATCGAGTGTATAGTGATTTTTTAATATCCATAAACCTACTAAAAATATGAGGATAAACTACTCAATGGCACTGTTGTTAAGATTTAGCCAGTTTTTGTTTCATTCAGTTATGACTACTCCGCCATAAGTATTTTTTTAGATCAATGTCATTGTTAACGTGAACATAACTGTGCCCCATAACTATTGTTATCATTTATCACCATCAGCACTAACATCAACGACGACAACAACAAATTAAACAAAAGCAAAAGCAGAATCACACAATTTACGCTATCCCTTCTCCTTATCAAATTTTTAGCAGAATAGGGAATATGACCGAATAAGAAAAGCAAATCGTCCTCCATATGTAAATATATACGTCGTCGAAACCAAGAAACAGATTGACAACAAATAGCACAAATCAAAGCTGTTCTAGAGTAAACCACAATTGTTATTTTTTTTGTTGTTGTTTGCTGTTGTTGTTGTTGCCGTAAATGACGACGATAATTTCAGCGTGATGCTCATAGATGTATTTTGGTGAATCATGAATTTTATGAATACATTATTAAACTTTTTGTAACGCCAGTCAAAAACAACCAAGAAAAAAAAACGAGCAGCAAAGAAAAAGCGCGGAAAGAAAGTTAACAAAAAAATTTAATCAAAATTTAAAGAAGAAGCAAAAAGACTCAAAAAAAGAGACAAAACAACTATGCTACATTTACTAGATAAAAAACGAAATGCTTTTAATATGCAGCAGATAGAACGATAGCTGGATGGATAAGATGATAGACGGTAGATAGACAGATAAATTAGCTGGATGATTCAGGAATACGAATAAACACCAAAACAGGACTTGTAATCGTTGTAATGTTCTCAAAAATTAGTAAATCTACTTTTTTTTTTGCTACTTCTCAGAATTAGCAGATACTCTTTGTTGCTCTCCTCGTTCGTTTCCTCAGCATCCTCCCATTCTCTCCCCGTCCTGTTTCTCCGATCGTGTGGTCATCCAACAATAAACGTTTTTTGGTCAAAATAATTGCTCCACTGTTTTGTTTATCATGTATTTACGTTCAAATTTTTTTCGTTTATAATTTACAGCTGTTAGACAGCATCCCACTTTATATATCAGTATATTGAAGGCAATGAATAAATGTAAAGTAAAAACCGGTGTTTCACATATTCGTTTTATTTACTGCCATTTTTGAGGAGAATTAAAAAGATCGGAAAATAACAATACAAAAAAGTCAAAAAAAAACCAGCTGCTTTAGAAAAATCAAATGTATATCTAAGAATATATATATATATATATATATATATATATATAT